TAAAAAGCAAGCGTGAACATGTGCAGCACATGTGAAGTAGCATATCTCTCGCATGGCTACTGTTCCCGGATGACCTTCGATGCGTTTTATTTTGGGCTAAGCTTGCGCTGTTAGAACACCGAACTGGTACATGCTGTTCGAGGAATTACACGATAGAATGCCATTGGTTATAGACGAAGGCTGACAAACAAATATTCACTCAAAAAGTTCAAAGAAATGACGCTTAATTTTATCGTGTTTTTACATCTTCTACAGTTCCAGCACATTAAAAGCCCTGATCATTCTGAATCGGAAAAGCAAATGCATGATTTCATTTGTCCCTAGGGGTTTAGGTTAATCCACACTTCCAAATCCAATACAGGGTATTCCTTAGTTCTGCAGTAATGTTGCATAATTATTTATTCATGTGTACACTCCCGGTAACTTTTCAAATTTATAAAATCACTTCTCGTCAATGATTTAGTTTACAGCCTTTTTATTACAGAGGAATACTAACAAAAAAGAAAAAAAAAGTTAACAACGATTAAGAGTTAACATTTCCAGTTTCTAATAAATAAGTCTGAGTGCAGGAAAATCCTGCTTTTGAAATACTCCAGGTTATACCTGTATTTTGTTGAATAAGGTTTAAACGGCAAAAAAAATCTACGGACAGTGAGCACATTGTTTGGGATGATGAAGTGCATTTTTTGTTGTTTAGTGTAGTGCAAATGCCTAAATGGGCACATTTTCAATGAACTCTTCATGGACGATGTACTTTCTGTACGGGACTTTGTCTAGTACTCAGCCATGTCTGAAACCAAACAGAATGATCATGCATGCTATGCAGTTAGAATTTCAATGCTCTGCTCCCCATGCAGTGATAATGTATCCTTGATTCTAAACACTTCTGGGAAATAATTTAGGATTTTTGTTAGATGGGGGCGCAACCAACTCCATGATGCAACGAACTGAAGTCCAGGAATTGGTGTGAGCTTCCAAGGTGTGAAGTTCAACACATACTGAGATAGCTTTAAGCAATTACTTCTTCAAACAACTTTAAACAACTGTGCGACACTGTACAACCAATGACTGCGACATTCATCGTCCCAGGACAGGAAATTTGGTGTCTCCACAGATGAGACCCTTTTTCACCCACGTGACCAGACGTTCAGATAGAGCAGAACTGGTAACTGGACCACCCCCTAGTTGTGTCAATGCATTGAGCTCCCTGGATTCAAACAACAAATGACAGAATCTCTAGTTTTCGATTAACTTCAGTGTCGGGATGGATATTCTGCTTCTTGTTGCAATGCATAGCACAACCAATCTTTATTTCAATAGACTGTGTCTTTTCATTTCATTATTAACCCTGGAACACTGCGAGCTGAGGGTATGTTGTCAGGTCAGGAATCTTCCTCAAGCAGTCAAAAATATGATCAGTATGTCCGCTAAAAACACAAAATGTAATTAAAAACAAAACTGACAAAAACCAAGAACAAGCAAATTGTAAACAAATGAACAAAAAGAAATCGGTTTGAAGGAAACTGCGCCTCACATATAACCAAGGCTTATGGCGCCCCATACAAGTCACGTCTCAATGCTGTTCCTCACTCCCTCTGGCGTCCATCAGGGCTGAATCCTCGCACTGGCTGTATTGTGCTCTGCTATCGACTGAATCCTAAGCCGCTGTTAGTCTGATCCTGAATAGTTGTCGGAGGCAAGTCCTTCACAGATCTGGTGTACGCTGACAATGCTGCCCTGCTTCTAGGAAAACCCTATCAGTGGCCAATTCCTCTCCAGAGATTTGATGAATAATAATGATAATAATTGAAAGTTTATAATGCGCCATTTCCATAAAAATGATCAACAGCGCAGTACATGTTAACGTAAAAATAATAGATTTAAGAAATGAAAGGATAAGGATAAATGAATGTCAGAGCGCTTGTACCCAAACCACAGTATGGGGATATGTCTGCCCCGCCAACAGGGAGAACCTAACCCTGCTGGCATCGGTGATGTCTCCATCTTTCCTGGGGACAGACGCCTCTAACCCTACCTACGATAAAAGAAAAGTGATTGTACCAGACACGGTGACACTAAAATAACGAATCACAGCTAAACCTACGTTAAAATTAAAAATAATAACCCTACTAGATAAAACTCAGAAAATCAAGAATCTTGCAGTGCAATATCACTGTGCAAATGCAAAATTAAAAAGACAAGATTTCACTTCACATTTAAAAACGGCAAGGCTCTGCTCTTACCGTACGTGCCATGGCCATAATTTAGGAGCAGCCATTGCAAATGCCCTGTCACCAAGTGTGAGTAGCATTTTACCGTTAGGGTAACTTAACAAAGGACCGTTGCTTGCTGACCTGAGATGATATCTAGACTCCTTCTTAATGACGACAAGATTCATTAAGTATAAGAAGCAACGATGGATATGCACGTGTCCTGGGCTAAAACGAAGATCCAGAACTACATCGGCCTTTTTCCGCCACTGGCCCTGGCCACCGTAATGGGCTAGCCCATCGAAACTATAAAGAGGCTCAGGTACCTGACTGTGACATTAACTCTTCCAGCTATAACTGACCAGACTTCCTCATCAACCCTTCGCCAACTGGATTGGGTATGGCAGAACAAACGCCTTAAGCTCTCAACCAAGCTGAGGATAATGAACGACCTGGATCCAGCTCCCTTTCCAACTTTACGAGTCCAAGACGTGGACGCTTTTAGCCAGGAAGGACATAGGCTCTACGCATTCCATATGAGGTATGGGTTTGACCTCGTTCCCAACTCCACTATCATGGAGTCCACTGGCCTCGAGGGCATCCATAACACCACCTCACAGAGACAAAATTCTCTCTTCGGCCATGTCCAATAGCTACAGGAGGGCATACCAACTTATGCAGCCTTATAAGCTCTGCGTTGACGCTCGTGGGGGCCTCCACCCAGACATTGGCTGAAATAGATCTAGGGACCTTTTACTTAACAGTTGGGTGTGTCAACTGGAGAATGACCAAAAGCTCCCCACTCAGCAGTTGTTGCAGCTTCCAAGCGATCACCAACCTCGGCGGCTGAAGAATGTCCCCCCCCCCACGATGGATAGGAGATCACAGCCAGGAGGTGCGGATTCCGATCTCCAAGAACTCAACTGTGCCACACTCGATTTTTTTAGACCCAGCATGCGTGTAGGCTAAAGGCATTCCTTGTCAACTGTTATGTTTGAACTCGTTGAAACACGTGGTTTTGTTGCGGTCATTTGAAGCTCAAGGCTACACGCGTGCTGGCGCGCCCTGCGGTGAAATCTACTGATAAAGGAGAGATAGACTGGTGTTCAGTTTGCCAACCTGTTTCGTTCCTGCGTCCGTTCCTGCTTCGTTCCTGCTTCGTTCCTGCGTCCGTTCCTGCTTCGTTCCTGCGTCCGTTCCTGCGTCCGTTCCTGCTTCGTTCCTGCTTCGTTCCTGCGTCCGTTCCTGCTTCGTTCCTGCGTCCGTTCCTGCTTCGTTCCTGCGTCCGTTCCTGCTTCGTTCCTGCGTCCGTTCCCGCGAAAACGCACAGACCGTACCTTTTCAGAAAAATGTGACGGGCGTACTCAGCACGTCCCGGCAAAACATGTATGAAACTGCAGTAACTTCCGATTAAAGGACTTTGCCGATATGAACATAACACACCACATCCACCGGTAATCGTTGCCTGTTTTTCATCTCTGATCTATATGTCTGATGTGCTCAGTGCGCATTCACACATTTATCACCTAATAATTTAATCTTGGAGCTCCCTGAATCTCCAATAAGGGACGTTGTTATTCAACTCTTCCGTAACTGGTTTAATGCTTGAGGTCGCAATTGTTTTCTGATGAATTAGAAGCAGTACCAATACATTGAATAAGTGAATATGCTATTAATTATTGTAGTTCATTGACTTTGTCAGTTTTATCAATTTTATTTATTGGAATGGGCCTTTTACGTAGAGATGTTTTTATTGTTGATCTACGTGTTTGTGTCATGTTTTAAAATAATTTTACAAATAATATATCTTTTCATGTAAGATGTTTTTAATTGCAGATCTACGTCTAAATTATTTTTTGTCAAGTCAACTGTATTGGAAAGGAAAGCCTCTGTGGGTCACAGTTATATTTAGTTTAACTTTTTCCTTTCCTGGCATTTGCTAAAGACTTGCTTTGTACAGTCCTTGTTTTTACTTATGTTGATATATATGCGTGTCCTGTCCTTGTATTGTGTTTTTGATGAATGCCGAATAAATAGTACTAATAATAACTTCTCTTTTTCCCGCTCGGACCGAGTGAACTAACCCGAAGAGATGCCGTAACTGCGGTGGCAAGGTGCACTCACACACGCACGTAAACACTGTTAAAATATTTGCTGTGTATTTACAGTGTTTTCGTATGTCAATTGGCACCACAAGGGCTCCCTATAGGGACAACGAATCTACTTCAGTTTTTGTTGTACGTCGACAGATATTTTCGTTGTAATAAAACACAATGTTAGAAATTTTTCTGTAAATTTACAGAGAATCTTATGTCAATTATCTTTACAAAGACGTTTGCCGTTTTAACAATTATATTTGTGTAAGCAACTTAGACGAGGTTGAAGGAGGTTGCCTACAAAGTTGAGGGAGGCTACCTACGCTTTTGGTTGGTGATGACATTGACACGTTTGATTTTAATTTAATGTGTTAAGGTCATAGAGCTATATATAAAAACATGGTAAAGACACAATTTCCTCACCTAATCGACGCAGTATGATCACAGTTGCTATGCTAGACTAATCTGTAATAGCAAGCACCTTCATCGATTTTTCTTTCATTTTTAGTCACAGTTGGCAGGGTGGCAGGTTAAAAACCTGTTTTAGCTGTTATTTTTTTGTACACAAGATGACGTAAAATAGATTTCTTTGTCAACAAAAACATTAGGCCTACCCGTTACTCGGAATAACAGGAAACACGAGAAACAAAGGCGAAACCAGCTTTATGAAAGTGGTTTTGTGCACCTACGTCAAAATGCAAATTTATGTTAATTCATGTTAAAGGAAAATTGTACATTTGCAAAGCTTGTTACAGGGTTCAGTTGTAACGCAAAAAGAAATCACTGTACCGCCACAAAGTGCGTCTGTTACAAAATTCTCTGTCAATATGGGCGTTTCACAATAGTGCGCCTCCAAGAGTTTGCAACACGTTGGCCAATCACAATGTCCGAAAACTGTCGACCCAGCACGCGTTTGGAAAGGGTCGACAAATTTCGCGCGTTCTGATTTGCCAAGGCGTTGAAAACTCTTGGAAGCGCACTCTTGTGAATCGCCCGTATTACTGCTACACAATTTGTAACAGTGAGCATGACGCGCGCGTGCATTTGGCAAATCACGACACCCTATCGGTACTAACGCGGCGCATACCACTCGTCCACGTAGTTGTGCCAACTTCACAGTCACGGCTTCTAATGAGCCACCTGTTCGATGTTTCAAAAAGGCAAGGTCATTAAAAAGCAAGCGTGAACATGTGCAGCACATGTGAAGTAGTATATCTCTCGCACGGCTATTGTTCCCGGATGACCTTCGATGCGTTTCATTTTGGGCTAGGCTTGCGCTGTTAGAACATCGAACTGGTACATGCTGTTCGAGGAATTACACGATAGAATGCCATTGGTTAGAGACGAAGGCTGACAAACAAACATTCACACAAAGTAAATCGAGGGAATGACGTCTGTATCGTGTTTTTACATCTTCTACAGTTCCAGCAAATTAATTAACCCTAACCATTCTGAATCAACAAGCATATATACATAATTTCGATAGTCCCGAGGGGTTTAAGTTAATCCACACTTCCAAATCCAATACAGGGTATTCCTTAGTTCTGCAGCAATGTTGCATAATTATTTATTCATGTGCACACTGCCGGTGACTTTTCAACTTTATAAAATTACTTCTCGTCAATGATTTAGTTTACAGCCTTTTATCACAGAGGAATAAAAACAAAACAATAATAAAACTAACAGCATACGTAACATTAACAACAGTAATACAGAGTTGACCTTGCCAGTTTCTAATAAAGAAGTCCGAGTACAGAAAAATCTTAGCTTGTTTTTGAAGTATTTCATGTTCCCTGTATTTTTGTTGGACAAGGTTTACACGACAAAGAAAACAAATCTACGGACACTGAGCTCATTATTTGGGATGATGAAGTGCATTTTGTTGTTGTTGTTTAGTGTAGTGCAAATGCCTAAATGGGCACATTTTTCAATGAACTCTTCATGGACGATGTACTTTCTGTACGGGACTTTGTCTCGTGCTCAGCCATGTCTGAAACCAAACAGAATGATCATGCATGCTGTGCAGTTAGAATTTCAATGCCCTGCTCCCCTGTGGCAACCACCAAATAGATTTATCGGTACTAAACACTCTACGAATAAACAGACAAAGTTTATACATATGAGCTCATTCTCGAGAATTTTGTACAAGTATTTCAAAATGAGACAAACTGGCTTGGCATTTTTGACTTTACTAAACTTCTTTTCCGGCACTCATCCTGACACATTCTTATATTATGTTGTACTCCGTAACACCAGGGGCCTGCCAGGCGATCCTAAATACTACATTGTACTAAGACTAGCTTAGTCAACTGCAAAACGAAGCGCTGCCTGTCGAATGACTTTGGATAGTTACACTCCTACGAGCGTCCAATCCTATACCAAATACACGATCTATACAATTATACATGTTTGTCGTTTTTACATCCTTGGCCAAGTTAAAATGTTACACTGCATTTGTTTGGAAATGGACAATTCAGCGACACAACAGCACACATTAACTTGCTTGCAGTTGGAAAAGAAAGGAATTTTGAGGTTTAACTAATACAATAACTCTTGGAAGACAGATAATAAATTCAGAAATTCAACTTACAAAGGCCTATGCAATTCTACATCTATTTGATCATGGCAAAGGTGGATCATGAGTATTTATGTTCAGAGACTAAAAAATGCTTCTACCGTGGAATGATAAACATTATTGACAAAATTATGTATACAAAGATCAGACGAGCAGCCAGATGAACCATGATAATGGATCCTTGTGTAAACACTTCTTGGGGAATCATTCAGGAGTTTTTGTGGGGGTGGGGGGGCACAATGACCTGCAGTCCAGGGTTTGATGTAAGCGTCCAAGGTGTGAAGGTCAACACATACTGAGATAGCTTCAAGCACTTATTACAACTTTGCAATACTGTACAACCAATGACTGCGACATTCATCGTCCCAGGACAGGAAATTTGGTGTCTCCACAGATGAGACCGTTTTCACCCACGTGACCAGACGTTCAGATAGAGCCGAACTGGTAACTGGACCACCCCCTAGTTTGGTCAATGCATTGAGCTCCCTGGATTCAAACAACAAATGACAGAATCTCTGGTTTTCGATTAACTTCAGTGTCGGGATGGATATTCTGCTTCTTGTTGCAATGCATAGCACAACCAATCTTTATTTCCATAGACTATGTCTTCTCATTTCATTTCATTATTAACCCAGGAACACTGCGAGGATATGTTGTCAGGTCAAGACAATGACAGAATCTCTGTTTCTTGATTAACTTAACTTCAACATCTGGATGGATATTCTGCTTCTTGTTGCAATGCATAGCACAACCGACCTTCACTTAATACACTCCCTTCTCAGTTCGTCTATAACCTTGGGACTTTTGAGGGATATTTCGTCAGGTGGAACAAAAAAAAATGATCAGTATGTTGGCTAATATCTGTGAAAAGAGCCTTCATTTCCTCCATCCAGCATCGGTAGAAAAAATCCACTACTGTATTGTTAATGGCCGACACGTTGAATGCCGCCTATAACAGGTGTAGTCAAGTGTTTCTGTCCCATACAACACTTTGGTTTGTACACAGCAAATACATGGCACAGCTTATCACTTGCCCCACCCACTTACCCATGCATTACTGAACGAAAGTGAAGCCTTTATCCATATCCACCTGCTGTCTCTGTCTTATGCTTCATATTTGACATGTTTGCTGTCGCAATCAACATGGAATTTTTTCAACCTCTGGACATATGACAATTTGATCTTCAATAAAAAAAAAATGACTGAGTACTCGAGAGAAACATCTCTCATGAACAAAGGAGTCACAAGTTACCAGAGCAACCTTTGAATGAAAGGCCTTTGAGAGAATCTTGCACTGTGTATTCAACAGGAGCCTCAACATTTTTCACGCAAACATAATCATTGTCCATATTCATGCCAAACTGGGCAACATATCCAAAAAAAGAACTGTTTCCTCTTTTTGTGTGTGAACTAAACAGTATTACCCAAAATATGATCTTGTACTCACTTCATGGGAATCCATGCACATAATTAGACAATGGCTAAATCAGGCTCCCTATACGACATGTACAGTGTACATCTAATGTCAGCGTGTCCTTGTGTATTTCCAATGGGCAAGACCTACACTGAGACAACAGGTGCACAGAAGTAGACTACAGGAGAACCTATTTGCATTTATGCAAACAGGTTGATCAACAGACACTGTAATTCAAATGAAGTAGGCAAAGTGAAAATGAGCAGAACTACGTAAGAGTCACATTAAGAAAAGAAAAAGGAGACAATGTCTCATGTATTGTCTGCATGGCTGTTTTTGCCACTGCTGTGGCGTCTCTGTTTTTCAGGGCTTCTGTCGCTATGTGTGCTTCTGTTACTGTGTGTGCTTCTATCGCTCTGTGTGCTGTGCTCACTATGCTGGCTATCGTGGCTACACTGTTTAGGTAGCCGTGGGGGTGAGTTGAGCTTGAAGTCGGACCCCTGGTGACTGGTTCCATTGATGCGGCTAGCTTGCTGGCTGGCACGCACGGCTTCCTTCAAGAAGTCTTTGCACTCGCAACAGACCGTGTCTAGCTGCTCCTTGGGGAGGTTGGTTTGTCTCTCTCGCCTCCAAAGCCTAGGAGAACCTTCTGGGGTTACAGAGGGTGTAGGGGGTTCCGAATGGCTGTCAAAATGATACAAGAAACAATTTCTGTAGTTACCCTACTGGAAAAAAAATAATGCCACACGATTAAAATTTCCCATAACTGTGATACTTACTAGAAGGGGGACGGCAAACAAGAAATGGACGGCCTACCTTGTGATTGTGAATCAGCCAGTTTGGTATTCCAACAGTGCATGCCCAGAACGAGGCTTTTTCGTAAACAGAGATGCGCGTGTGCAATAGTCTGTCCTATGAGCGCAGCCATACACTGACTTGTGCGCACCCTTTGTTCCTGAAAGACCTTGGCTTTTTGAAATACCGCACTGGCTGATTGACAGTGACTGTACTTGGATCGTAATTTCCCAATCCTTAACCCCGAAGGAGCCGGGTTATTGAGCACCATAGTGGAAGATGTATACATTTTTGGCTTACCCATCTTGAAAAATGCACGCTACGCAAGAATGGTATGTCCAATTTTCACAATATTGGTGTCAAAATGGCTGCAAGGAATTACTCTAAAGACTCTCGAAGGCTCAACTTCTGAAAAAAATGCACTGTGGCAATATCAGGAAAAGTGTTGAGGGGGTGGATTCTGTCCCCCCCCCGGCTCTTTTAGGGTTAAACTGAGCATGCCATATATGAAATGCCAACAGAACTGTTGATGAGATGTGAATGTTTGATGTGCATGCTGTGAAAACAGGTCTACAAGACCAGCTGAATATTCCTTTCAAATTCAACTTGGGGAGGCAGACGGTGAAAGAAACAACTTCCTTTTGCTCCTTCATTTAAACAACAAGTGCTATTCAAATTACAACAGCAGTCAAAGTAGCGACACAAAATACACTTACAATCTATTCCAATTTGGTGCTAATTTTGAATTGTTGGTAATTACTGCTGCCACTATCAGCCACCTGTAGGTGAACAGCTAGAGATGGAAGCCAATTCTAACCTTTTATTTCTAACTCCACTTTATGTTTTTAAATCTTTAAAATCTTTTTAAAATCTTTTAACAATCTTTTTAAATCATTAAAAAAGTACTGTGAATATGTGCTACGTTTTGTACATACTTTGAGAATTAAAAAAAAAATTAAAGAATTTGCCTTGTCCCAGTAAAAAACTACTAAGCATACTTTTAGAGTAAAACAGAAACTTCAACAAAGGAAATTATATCTAGATATTTTCCTCTGACTTTTTAATTTCTAATATTCCATTCAAACTGTCTAAACTTTTGAAGCCTTGGAATAATTTTTCAGCCAGGCATTCAGAGCACAGTTTAACTACTTCTCCATCCCAAAATGAGGAAGTTAACAGGGTAACCTTATGACGATTATACCTCCCTGGTAACGTTACTTGAACTACAACTTCATTCTAAATCCCCTTTAACCACTGATTTCATGTCAACAGAGCCATAAACGTTTCAGTTAGATGAAGAACTTCAAAAAATGAAAGCCATGAGTCCGATAAAACCTTGTTGAAAATATCAACTAACTAATTAACAATGAAAGCTACGTCAGTGAGACTACATTCAGTGAACACTTTCAACATAGGTATAAACTTTTCTAAGGAAAGGTTCTCCAACGTATGTAATCTCAATCCCAAAATAGTACATACATGTAGCTATAGTCAATACTAACTAAGAGGGGTCAGTGGGGTTCACCTGTAACACTGTAAAGTTTGCAGAAAGACTCTGAGTTGTGAACTTCGGAGGAATTTCAAAATTAATGTGTCAACTAAATCAGGGTGTGCATGAAATTGGATGACTTCACCAGTAATTGACAAGTAATTGGACCAGTGTCTTTGGACTTGACTTGCGTGACATGAGACTTGACCAAAGTGACTTGAAACTTGACCAGATTGTCTTTTGACTTGACCAAACTGACTTGGCACTTGACCAGAGTGACTCAATTGAGACATGACCAAAGTGACTTGAGACTTGATCAGAGTGACATGAGACTTGACCTCAGTGACATATTAGACTTGACCAGAGTGACTAGAGGCTTGATCAGAGTGACATGAGACTTGACTTCAGTGACATATTAGACTTGACCAGAGAGACTAGAGGCTTGATCAGAGTGACATGAGACTTGACCTCAGTGACATATTAGACTTGACCAGAGAGACTAAAGGCTTCAGCCATGGAGTGAATTGAGATTTGACCAATGCTCTTTGAATTTTTAGAGTTTCCTTGGCGTTCTAAAATCAAACAAGTTCACTCTAAACCAGATTTCACAACTTGCTGTAAAAACTCTCTATTTCTGAAGCCTTTGTCTTACTGAGGCATTTTTTATTACCAACTTAATACAACCATTCCCAACAATTATTTCACAATCAATTTCAATGCCCAATTCTGCAATAAAAAGCACCTCTTGAAAGTTCAAGACAAGGCATATGAACTTTTGACTTCCATAATTACAGGTAATATCGTACAGTAAACTTTAAGTTTACACCTAGATACACATGTACTAGTACTGTTTTAACATCTCGCCCCTTAAATCCCTAATCATTTGCTTACCATAAACATTAAATATGAGCATAGAGTGAAACTGTATGGAACATTCATACAACAATAAGTTTAGATAACAGAGATGATGTCAATTTCGAAGGATTTGGTCACAAGTTATAACAAGTTATATACCTATCCTATTCAAGATTAACTAAGAACAACTCAGGTTGTTAAAAATCACTTAGATTATAGGCAGGATTGGTACAGAACAGGATGTAGAGTCAGTCTGTCTGGTCTGTCTGCTACTATGAAAAGCAGCAGTCAAGTGGAACATTTAAAGTGAGATTCTGTACCGCAACAGACCGAAACTAAAAATGCAATGCAACATCCAGTCTGCTGGCAACAATTCTGTCATGCTCAAGGAAAATTCACAATGGAATACATCATTATTTACACAAACATTTTCCCAAGCACCTAATCCCCTCCCCAGGGGAGGGGAGGGGCATTGTGACCTGTAGAGTCCTAGTACAAAAGGTGCGCCATATGTCATATAAATATTGACTTTCCTTAACAATACTGAGGGGTTTCAGGCAGTTCTCTTAGTTCATTGTGTGTCCTTATTTATTGCATTTAGTTCCCAAGTTCAAAATGTGAATGTTTTGGCAACAGGCAAAAATGTCCATCTAACGCTTCTTGTACTCAGAGAGGGGGGGGGTTGTGCAATTTAACACTCACAAAATACTCACTGGAGTTGAAGTTCAGTTGAAATTATTTTTCCATTGCACGTTAGTTTTCAATATCCAGGTACTCAAAACATATTGGAGAGTAATGTCACTGGCCTTTAATGCAAGATTTTACATGTAGTTACTGTCGTGTTATTTATTCCTAACTTGAATCCAACCAGCCAAAAACTGGGAGGCCATTTCAGGAGTAACCTGTTTGCCTGTGACATTGCCTTTACCTTTTGAACATTTGTGAGGAGTGTTCACCAAACGCTGGACTTTTCTTAGGACTGGTAGGACTTAGTGACTCGATGGGTATCTGCAGGAAATGACCTCGGGGTAGATACATCTTCTTTGTGCAAATAGAGCAGATGAGCCTAAAGAAGATGGCAGAGGAAGACCAGCAAGAAACAAGGATTACAGAATGCTCACTGAAGCAACAAACAACTAGAAACCACCCTGAGCGGGATGAATGGGGGGTGTCATTTTTCTAGCAATGGAGGCACCTTTACTGGGAACTGCACGTTGCTGGTTCACGGATAACTATGAAATGCATGCAGTGTGGTTGCGTCGCCCCCGTGAATTCTTCCCACCAACATGTCTTCTTTCAACCAAAGACGGGTGCTTCTACTTAAGGTAAATCTGTTTAATATCTCTATTTAAACCCAGTAGTAAAGGACACAGTGAAACCTTATCTCTTGTCTTCCAGTAGGACCCAAGGACTTTCTTGCGAACTGCTTCGTACTTTAACCTTAAGGCTTTTACTACAGAAATAAAGGTTTAGCTTTTTTTGTAGCACTTGATACAAAGTTCATTTCAAAATTATCTTTTATCTTTTCAAAACAAACCAGTGGTCTTTCATTGATAAACTAGAACAGCAAAGCTGCCATGGCTCGCTGCTTGCTATGAATTTGAATTTCTTTCTTGTAATAACAGGAAAGAGACCATCAAAGTTATACAAATATGGTTACTAAATCAAACAAGTAAAAATTTTGTACAAGATTGATTGACATACGACTGCAATACAGATGTAAAAGCTATTTTATCGACCTTAGCAATACCATTCATTGTACTCTAGGAGAAAAAAACCTAGTCAGTACTGTGTGTAGACTGTGTGTTGGAAGGCGCCTGTCATTTCAAAGTAAATAAAAAAAGACCACCACCAAGGGAGATACAGGTATGAAGGCTTCACAGTTCTTTACAGGAGAGAGGAATGCCTAAAGAAAGTGAGTCCAGCTAGTACAGTCAGACTAGACCTGGATGATTATATAAGCAGTGCATTTGTGAGTTTGACGGATGGTGCATAATTAAAATTCCTCTAAAGTATCCGGTAAATGTACAGCTCTGCACTTTGTATCCAACCCCATCATCCTATCCATCTCCTACTCTGCCCCTT